TCGATGCGGCCGAATAGGTTCAGCACGGAGCCCTGGGCGGCAGAACTTGGGTCGCTGAGCACGTGCTGCGTCCAGCCACCCCTGCCCTTCTTGTTCCAACCCGTGACGAGGCCTAGGGCTGCCTGTGTCAAGATATGTGCCAGGTGGAAGGACTCTGGCCCGTGTCTTGAAGGTGCGCAGGAGCTCGTCCTCAAGAAAGGCGCGGTAAGGGCTGGATGACTCGTACGGGGCAATGGTAACGAATAAGGTCGGGTAGCCGAGCTGCTTCTGCAAATCTAGCAAGGCAAAGTGCCGCGTGCACCAGTACTCCGGCGAAAAGGGCTTGCCAGCCAGCGCCACCCTCATCTGCACCCCAGAAGCGTGTTTGGCCCCTCCCAGCGAGCTCCATGAAAGCCAGAGGTCATACACAAACTACGCCAGCTCATAATCAGAGGCGTATCCAATGACGGAGGACATCACCTTTGCCAAGAAGCTGGCCTTGAGCGACTGCCGTGCGGAGTCTTTCAGGAAGTGTAGGGGCGACTCCACGTCGTCCTCCTCTTCTTCCGCTCTCTCCCCTTGAACGTCTGACCCAGATTCCTCATCCTCTGTGTCTGAAATCTGGAGCTCCTCATGGTTGGCTTGTCGCCGCGTGCTTGCTGGCGCTGAGCATGTGCTGCCCGCATGTCACTGCGTTCGCGCGCCACCCGACGCCCATCCTCCAGCCGCACAAAAGTCTCGCAGAGGGCGACCGCTGGGTAAAGGTGGGGCCACAAAGCAGTCTCCAGTTGCAGAGTTTCCAGGAAGCGGACCGGCAGGCGTCGGGCCGACTTGTCTGGTCCGCAACCAGTCTGGGCCAAGAACAGATCGTGCTGCGCCACGAAGGACAGGGAGGCCGAGTAGCTGGGGCGCAGACGGAAGAATTGCGTGCGCTCTTTCCATGTCCTGAGTGGAGTCGGTAGAGGGCGTGAGCGAAGGAACCGCCATGCCTCCTGGGCTTTCGGCGTCGGTCCTCGCCTCGCAGGCTACCTGGTCCTGGACGCTCTGGGGGCGCCAGCGTAGCCGGGTCATGTCCGTGTGGATGCGGTAGCCGTATTCCCCGCAAGAACACAGGGCCCACAGGGCAGTAGCCGTGAGATCTCGAAGCGGCCCTGGGATGCGGGCGCCTTGTAGCCGATGCCCCGGGCGCAGCGTTTGCATCTTTTCTGGCGAGCTCGGAGCTGGATGTTCTTGTCGTGGCTGGACTGGTGGAACGGCCGAGGCTCCAGCCGATGGCACTCTGTGCACATGAACTAGGAGGCTTCGCGGGCCCAGAACTCGAAGTGCCGCGCCCCTTGCACTCATCCATGCTCGGCCAGAGTGCTGCTCGGAAAACGCCAGGCCAAACTTCTTGTCTCGCATACGCCCATCCTCCCGGGCACGCTCCCTCCAGACACGCTGCCCCTCCTGGTCGGGCAGAGGGTGGACGGAATGGCGGAGCTTGAGTTCCTCCTTCCACTGTTGCTGTACAGTCTTCCTCGGCTCTGCGCCGGCACGACCCTTGTAGTACGTCAAGGCGGCTGAACCAAGATGTTCCTCGAAGAGCCCACACAGCCGGAGGACATCAGTGGACCGGAGGGCCAGAAGCTGCTTGAGGGCTTGCTTTCCGCGCGTGCTGTTCGATGCAACGCTTGCATCTGCGCTGCAGAGCAAACGGGGCAGCGCAACACACCTTGAGCTGGATTCACTTTGGCCGCGACGCCGCTCTGGGTGGGGTGCCAGGAACAGGGCGCATCCGGGCGTCCTGGCTCGGCGCTGGTACTCCTTCACGGCCTCAGCTCCGAGGTGCTCTTCAACGCGCGCCCAGAGCTCCCTGGCACAGCTGGAGCGAATGGCCAACAGTTGCTTCAAGCGCAGGGTGAGAGCTCTCTTGCCCTGTGCGGTGCGGTGTAGCTTCTGCATTTGAGCCTGGGAGCACAAGGGGCAGTTTTGTTCCCCTCTTGCAGGATGTACTGCAGCAGCAACACCGGCCTGGGACGTGTGCCAGGTGCACGGCCGCCCCAGTCGACCCGGACAGGCCTCGTGGGGGGGCTGGGATGCCTGGGCGCCGTCGGCCCATGGACCTGCCGGACTGGTCGTTGTTGGTGTCGACACCCAGGTCATTGAAGAGGAAGCCGTCGATGCGGTTGTAGAGCGCGCGGCGCCTCGAAGCGAAGGTGCCTGTCTGCTGGTGGAGGGATCCGGCGTCGTAGAAGGACCAGGTGTGGGGAGCAGCCTCGACGTTGTTGTAAAGGAAAAAGCAGTCGGACCGCATGTGAGAGGCGTGTCGAAAACTTGAATTTGAGCAAACGTGAGGCAGAGCAACGTACCTGTGATCCTCAATGCCCAGGTCATCTGTCCATCGGGATAACGCGCTTCTCCACGCATGTGAAAGTCCTGCCAGGGGCGCAGCAAGCAAGCGAGTCAACGTGAGAAACCGGGAGTCAGCCCCAAGTGGTAAGGCCCGGGCCCAGTCGGATTTTTGTTATTGCAGCAAGAAGCATGGCCACGCCCAACATCAAGAGGGACACCCAAGTCGAAGCAGCGCCAAGGTTGCGTAGCATGATGGTGCCTGGCAAGGGCTGCCGCAAGGCTCCTGCACAATCAGCCACGTGAGCCTGGCCTGCCGCGAGTAGAATAAGGAAGTCACCGAGGTAATGTACCACAGCAAGAGCCAGTGCTGCAGAGTCACGAGTGCATGACGAACCGAACTACCGACAGTTTCCCCAACTATATGCGCGAGAGGAGGCACCGCGCAGCAAAGACGGACGGCGCGTGTTGTGTTCGGTTGATTTTGAAGCAGCAGGAACAGCACTGCGCATGTTGGCTCTCTTGCTGGAGACGAGTTAAAACGCTTGCTGTGGCCAGTCGCGGTCGAGGCTGTTCTGTCCTCAACGCAGCAGACATGGCGGGAAATTATGGTAATCCTCAGGCAATCAGCCACCCTTGCGCACGAGCACAACCCTGGGGTTGTCCCTGGCGAGGGCGGAGGCGGCGTCCAAGGCGCGGACCACGAAGTCGTCGTCCATGACGCGGATGTCCCAGTTGGGAAAGTCCGCCTGGCTGCCTCGGGCATCCATGAGTCGAAAGACAGCCGAGGATACGGTCTCGTTGGTGTCGCTGATCTGGACCTTGTCCACAGGGTCTGTCTCTTTCACAATGGCCTTGCCCTCGGGCGACACAGCTCCGATCCGATGAATGCTCAGGTGGACCTCCTTCTCTGTGGCTGGACGATTGGAGTTCTTGGAAGGGGACCCGGAGGGCTCACCTCGCTTCTTCTGCTTCTTCTTGTCCTTCTTCTTGTCCTTCTTCTGTGCGTCTTTCTTGATAGAGGTCGAGGGCGAGCTCGAGGAGGATGACTTAGCGCGCTTCTTCTTGGAGGTCTTTTCTTTCTTGGACTGTCCTTCTTCTTCTTCTTC